AACCACACACACCAGCCATGCATGTCCAAGACTGACGCCCCAGGCAAGGCACTCACATCTCCTGTAGTCAACATCCGGCATTGCCACGTCCCCTGAAGGGCCTGCGCTCTCGGCCCCTCCCCATCGTGCAGCAGCTGGGACATAGAGAGAGGGAATTAGCGGATGCGTCTTCACTTCTGTGGCAGCCAGCGTCCCCCACGCCGCACCGCGATTTGGCAGAGTCTACGAGCAAACCAGACCATCGAAGAGGAGCGGCAGGCAGCAACCCAGACCCAAGTTCCTCAGGGCACACCAGCCGCTCCCTTCTGGTATGCTCAAGGACAACAGAAGCGGGCTTCGGTAGTCAGCAGCAATGATATCCTCAAAGATGTGTAAACTTTCTGAAGCCTCCGCGGCCCATGCTGACAGACTCTCCTGATTACATATTGCAATCAGCGGTGTTCCACTACTCTGTTAAATCGCCGGCAAGCAAGCACTTATGCTTGCATGTGCAGAAACCCCAAAAGATGCTGGCAAACATCAAGCTTGCAAAGGCAATTGAATTGACAGCGCTGAACATTTTTATCCAACCTGACAAGACCTTCAGCGTGCTTACTCTTGCAAACAATTGAAACTATAAAGAGGTTTGTTGAGCATTGTCTTGTCCCAAGCAGAGGCTGCCTTTGATGCTGCGACCAGGCAACTTCCACAGCAGGCCACCCATCTCAGCAAGAATGTGATATGATTCCGGCCTGACACATGAAACGGACCAGGGAAACAGAGGGACATACTCCAAACAAGCTCCGTCACACTGAAGGGTTGGTGGTAGCCACGGCGTCTACCATAAACCAGAGAGCTCCGGCACCCTGCCCAATCGCAGGCATGCACGATCAAATGTTGCACAAGTCTGACTTTTGTGGGGTGTTCTCTGACTGAGAAACCACTTGTTTTGACTCACCTTCCCTTCAAACAACCCAGAGTGCAGACCGAGAGAAATCATGCAAACGAGACTTTCCGCTTCTGCTGCCAGGTCATTGACCTCGCTTGCTCTTGACGGAGGCCCCAGCGATAACGTCTCCCACAGGACATACCAAGACATGCCATTTAGCAGTACTAGAATGCTTGACCCTTATCCCAATCTCAAATCCTGGTCTCTAACAAATTACGTCAAAGCTAGCCTACTCGATCAAAGAGGGAGCTGCTTACCCGGAATCCCTATGAGGAACATATCCCAGGCCCCCAACCACTCCCCTATGTACCGGTGTGCCCACATGTCCAGAAGAGTCGAGCGCTGCTCAGCTGTGGACTCTCTCCATTTTGCCAGGGCAACCTTCTTCTGTGCCAGGTAACTCAGCAGCATGGTGTCGATATCTGGATAAGCTCTCTGCCACTCTTGTTCAATCTGTGGGGGGGGAACATTGAAAGATTAGCACAACAACGTACACGCCGCTGTACTGGTAGGATGAACACAAAGAGAAGTTGCTCTGTAATGCTGGAGTACAATTCATGCTGGTCTTGCCCTGAACTGTTGGCGGGACATCCCCTTCTCAAGGCTCACCTCCTCGGGAGAAGGTCCAGGGTTTGGTTCAACACCGCCAATGTTTAAAAGAGTGGCTGCACGAAAGGATGCCACGGTCAGATGCTGCATATGCGACCTGCTGGCTTCATCCAAATAGCAATCAGCAGATTCCAAACACAAGTCGACAGATAGGTGGTATTGGGACAAGCCCAAGAGCTCTTCACGTGTTTGCATGTTCAGATGAAGCCCTGCTGCTTCCTGAGAGACTGCAGATCCAGAGTTGCTATCCAAGTGCCTTACCTATCAGCAACTGGCTCATGGGCATGGAAGCCCAAACCCCCTTTTTTTCAGAATCGTTCCAAGCTGCAAGAGAAAAGAGCGGAAAGTTGGATTGGGATTGCTCATGATTTGTGTTAAATGCACAGCCAAAGAAAGCAAAGCGAATCAGAGGCATGACAGAGACCTTGCTGCCTTGAACTGTATCCAAGAGAACAACCAACTGGTATATCAGAAAACGCCAATCCAAATTCTAAAGACTATAATTTTAAACCTCATCATAGTACATGGTCTTGAAGAGCTGCAAAGTTGGCCAAATCGCGAAAGATGTACCATCGAACGCTTCTTCTTTAGTACGCAGCTTTCGGTATGCCGCTTAGGAACCCCTCCAGATGAACAAAACATAGCCACCTGAGCCCAACGTCACCAGCAAAAGAACTCTCAATTCTTCGTCTCGTTGCGTGACACCTGACACCTGGTTTGTAGCTCGGGGCATGCAAAGTAGTGATTGGACCTCTGGCTTGGTACTCACCTGCTGACCCTACCCATGACCAAGGAGGGTCAGATGATCCCAACAATTTCTTCTCCTGCTCGCATTGATGACAGGCAGAGTTCGCCTTCCGCAGCATCTCCTCGCGAGCCTGAACCCATGCTGCAATGAGAAAAGGGCACGTTCGGTCCAGAGCTGCAGCAGCTGCAGCCATGCCAAGTCCTGCGTGATCCAAGGTCAATCTTGCCTCCTCTTGCCCACAAGCGGGGTGTGTGCGTCTTTTCTTACCTGCTCGGTCCCTGTCAATATGGAAACAACCCTGTGTTGGGCCGTGCAGCTCGCAGTAGTACCCGATGTTCCCTCCAGTCTTGCTTCCCCGGAGCCCCCACTCTGCTGTCGAATCGCACTCATGGCAAAAGATAGCATGTGGGTCTGGAAAAGAGACAAAGGCAAAGGGAATCAGGGCCGATCACACCTGACACAAAGACCGGCCATGCCATCAACTTCAGGCATTCTACCAAGAAGTGACCTATTGATACCAAGGAAAGAATCGGCCAGCACTTGGTTTACTTTCCTGCCATGCCATCAACTTCTGGCACTAAACCAGGAAATAACCCATTGATATTCCAAAGAAATAATCGGCCATTTCTTGGTACACTTCCTACTTTAACTTCTTGCGCCCTTCTCATGTTTCAAGGCACCCCCAGCCATGCCTACAACTCCTGGCTTTGTACAGGAAATGATCCTTTTGAAATCTCTGACATGAAGATATAACTGGTCAAAATCTGGTACCCTTTCCTGCGCACGGCCAGCCATTCTGCTGGTCGATGTTGATGAAAGATCATCAACCCAATGTTCTAATCAAGAACACTCTTTTCCTGAAACAGTGGTATGGTTGCACAGCCAGCAATCCACTGACCTCAAAAATTGGCTTTTGAAGAAGCAAACTCACCACGTTCCGCAGCGCAATTCACAGCTTCTCTGAGCACCCGCACGTTCTGCCGCTTTGCTTTCTGATCCGCAGCGCTGCAGCGTCCGCGTGCTGGAACTTCTCGAGCAGGCTGCCCCTCATGCTTCGAAT